TCATGCTGTGAACAAAACAAACACAAAGGCAAGCGAGCACATGCGAACCGAGCCTCGTCGGGAGTGCATGCTCGAAAGACAATTAGAACGTGCAGCTCACTCAAGACAGCGCATTGAGAACAACGACAAGAGACACACAAACTGACAAGACATGACCAGTGCCTAGACTTTGCCAGGAAGACTTTCAGAATGCCAAGGCCTTGTTAGTTAATGCCCTTATAATTGGCAGCACCATTTTTTAAAAAGGCTTTTAAGTTTACAGTTGATGCAAAGGAAAAAGGGGCCCTTCTTTTGAAGGCTGATAAGCAAGGCATTAAAGACCCAGTTTGTTTAAAGTTTGTTTGTTTTCTTTAGTTTAACTACCATCAAAAAGACTAGTCTGTGTTCAATTTTGACAATTTAACATTTTTAGCTACATGGGTTGGACAATAAAACTAAAACACTGGCCTCATGTTTGAGGTTCCATCGCTAATTTGACCAGTCTGGTGGCCATTTTCATTGATTGCTAATTAAACCTTCACACACTGCTCTAAAGCTAAGGTCACACTTGACTTTCCCCCCACAGACTTCCATTCATTGGCACACGAATGCGTAAAACCCAAATGCAGGGTCATGCGTTAAGTTTCACAGTTCGCAAAGATCAAGCTTGGTGAACTCTGACCTGCGAAATCGCAATACTTGACTGCATGAGACCAATCTAGGATCAAAACATGACCTCTATGGACAGAAATTTAAAACATGGAGCAATTGCTCGCTTTTTAAATGTTTAATAATCTTGTTTAATCCCGCCCCTTTTTGCAGCGCTGTCCGACAGAATTTCGCACACACAAACTCTAGTGTGACCACAGCTTTACTGGTGGAATGTGCAGAGTAATAGCACAGTTTGCCTAAAATGCACACAACATTATGGGTGGCATATCAGAGTGAGTTCAAAAAAGAACAAATTGTTCGCTGGCACATCTGTGTCCAAGATAGCAAGTCATTGTGATGTATCAAGAGCCACGGTATCCAGGGTAATGTCAGCATATTACCAAGAAAGACAAATTACATCCAACAAGAAGAACTGTGGATGCAGTAGGAAGTTGTATGAAAAGGATTTCCGGGTGCTAACCTGGATTGTATTCAAAAATCATAAAACCCCCTTTTTCCACTAAAACTGTTCGTCGGAAGCTCCACAGAATCAATATACATGACTGGGCTGCTATAGACAAACCTTTGGTTACTCATGCAGAGATCGTGGTTTGTTCTTGGTGGGTAGGACTCTAGTGCTGATCATGGACTGTATCTGTATCTGTGACATTATTTACGAGGCTCACCTCTCTATCTTTCTCTCTTTCACACACACACACAATTTCAATGTAGACTATTGTGACAAATATTTAGTTTAACTTTACAAAAAAAACTATGTATTTTTAAAATATATATGTACTTATGTATTTAGATGATCAGCAGTTTCATGCATGCTTTGTTTGCAGCTTTAGTTTTTAAACATTATGGGCCCTATCATACACCTGACGCAAGGCGCGGCGCAAATGTTATTTGAAAGTTTCACCTTGACGCAAGTGTTGTTTTGCACCACACTGTTTAAATAGCAAATGCATTTGTGCTCTTATGTGTGCCCATAGGCGTTGTGGTCTAAGGCGTTCTGAGGCGCACTGCTGGCGCGTTGCTATTTTAAGAAACTATAATAGACTTTTCATTAGACCAAAATAAACCCAGTATAACCTCCAGTGCAGAGTTGCGCCCCGCTTACACACTGCTTAATAGCCTACACACAAAATGTAGAGCAATACGCAAATATCTTTACATATGAACAAATTTAAATATTACGGATATATATAGGATATAATAAGAATATATATATGATATAAATATAAAGGATTAAAATATTACAAAAAATATTATTTTCTAGTCAACGTAAATATGAAAAACCCACTGCTTTTATGCCTTCTTCATCTCGGGAGGCTTTTTCAGTTCATTCATAACAATTTGCTTTTGTATAATGTTATTATTATTAGCAGTATTATTTATTATATCCATATTTATATTTGTTTTATTAAAAACAAGCTTAGATTTGCCCACCTGCAGGTTTTAGACCATATGGAGCACAGCATGTGTTTTAGGATATAACTTTTGACCACACTTCGGTATTATTTTTCATTTATTCGTTTGCCGGAAATTAGGACTGAATTTAGAAATAGATTTGAAACAAATATTTGCGCTTAACAAACAAAATTAATTATTTATAGGCTAATTGATGTCAGAGCAAAAGTGAAAGTAGATAATTTACCTCTCATTCTGCACGATAGATGCTCTGTTTAACTGTTTTCTGTTAAAAAAAAAAAAACTATTAACTGTTTGCTTGTGAAATGCTCAGTTTTTCCACTTACACTTACTTTACGCTATGTAAATAGCAAATACGCTTATGGTGCGACGCAGCTGGCTCTTAAAGGGAATGGGAGACTCTGATTGGTTTATTCTCAAAACACACCTATAACTCATTAAGAAAATAAACTCAAACCTTTTAGACCATGCGCCACGGCGCAAAGCAGATTCTTCAGTCCTTAAATTAGCATCAATGAGCATTAGCATTAAATTAGCATAAATGTGTTTTGCGCTCTGCGCATGGACCGTCAAAATAGAGCCCTATATGTTTAAATTATGCTTAAACTCCAAAACCAAACACTGTTTACTCACTGCTCACCTTCTTTCATTGTAGTGCCATACAGCATTATCAATGCATCTATGCTTGTCCTTCAGGGTTTTGTGATAGTAGCATGCACATGCTGTTATCTAGACTATTTAAACTGAACTCAAATTAGTTAGATCGAATGATCTTGCTGTAACTTGCTGTTATGGCACTAATTTAAGTGTTCGGCTCAATCTAGTCAGGTTTTGGACTTTAATCCACACTTTTCTGATTAACCTTCATTAAAAGTTATTTTTCTAACATAATTGTCAAAGTAATGTATTTTTTATATCCAAATGATTTCATTAGGGCAGACTAAATTTAATAAGCCCGATAATTTACCAAACTTTGAAGGGTTTAATCTTGAGTCTACAAATGGTATAAACCAATGTCCAGTTACCACCTGTGCTTAATCATTTAAATTACTGTATTACTGTCATGTGTTAGGTGATTGGCCATCATATGCATCCTTAATCACACAGGACTTGGTTTATCAACATTTAGTACTGTCCATCATATTAGGTGTAAATAATAGGGAGTGAGATGTTAAAGCAGAATTGAACACAAATCCAAATAGCTTCAATTCTGCTTCTCTCTCTTTATGCACATACACACAAGTTTTTGGTGCAGCATTCAAAGGGTTTCGGTTGCGCTGACAGTGAAAAAGTAGAGGAGGAGACTGTATTAGATGAGAGGGAATATCAGTCATGAAGTAAATGGCAGTGACTGCAGAGGAATCACATGTTGACTCGTTTTAGGCATTTTCAGACACACCTACAGTACACGTGCCAGAAGCCAGTTCAGCAGACATTGCCTTACTTAAAAAAGTATAATAAGTTTATAATTACAGTGTAGAAAACCGTATCCTATTGGATAATTTGTTTATTACTACAGTTGTGTACCACAGCAGTCATGTAATTACTACCACTGTTTAATTCAAGTAATTATTTACAGTATGCTTTAAAACACTGCAGTATTTACTATAATATTTTTTCATGTAAGCATACATATCTACCACCTTGATGGCAGCCAAATATATTTTAGTTCAGATGGTTAAATTGGTCCTTTTCATTATATAAGGATCATGTACAACATGTGTTTTTTCTATCCATATCTCCTTTTTAAATAGAGTATAAATTTATTTATACAAACTTTTAAAACTAAACTTCCTCTATGTATTCCATTAACTTTTTTTACTTGCTGCCCTACATCTTAATTTCGCTTGTCACTAGAATCATGTGATTGCAAACAACCTATTGCTGTTTTAGTCTAGCTGGTTTGAGGCCTTAGTGGTTTATCTATTTTAATAGCCTAGTGGAAACAGCAACACAAACTCTATATTATATTTTCTGTAGGGAAATAAACAAGGTACACAACATCTTCCAATTAAAAAATGTGGCAGTCGCTATTTAAAGTTAGCTTTTTTAAAGCAAGTCATTATTACTAAACAACATGGCTTCTCTCTGTCGTCATTATTACTAAACAACATGGCTTCTCACAGAGAAAATGTATCCCATTTGAGTCAGAGACAATTAGGGTGCCAGTGGGTTAGCAATGGTTTGTTTGTTCTGTGCTGAATGTATTTTCTCACCTCATCCTTTGTGTGATTGTTTTCTTGCGAATCCAATGGAATGAAAAACAAACAGCTGCTGGTTTACACAGTATTTGATAAAATTACCTTGGATTTTAGTTAAACTAAACTATTGTTGCTTTACATGGAAAGAAGATGTGAGCACTCATTTGAATGCCTCAGAGATGTGTCTTGCCAATTGGAGGCGGATATTATTAACAGCAACAGATGAAGTGACAAGTCAGCACTGAATAGCCCTCCAGTCAATGTAAAGTGGATATGTGCAAAGACACACCTGGCCTTGCTCAAATGCACTTTTACTTAGCCAAAGGCAAACCATTAAACCATTCTTTGTCACAGTAAGCATTAGCTTTTTGTGCCATGTGTCATTGACCATTTACTTGATGAGTGAAACAAGTCTTACCTACTTATGCATTGTATGTCTACTTTGATGATGTCAGATGTAAAACCATGATACCTAATGCCGTTATTGTGATGTCACTGCTACGACAGGCCACTGATATATGAAAAATCTAAATGCTTTGACACCCACGTGGATACAGTTGAAACACTCATGCGTGCTTGCATTTGACTGTTTCAACATGTAATGAGTGGATGGAAAGCAACACAAAAGAAATGCACTTCTACCCGCCCAGGACAGAATGTATCAACCTAGGAGTCAACACCATGACCCTGATGGGCAGAATATGAGACACGTTTAAAACATCATGGAGCGTGTACCATAATAGTAGTGACCACAATTGTTCGGTTTTCCACTGAGGAGGAATCGTTGGTGAACTGCTGATCCATAATATTAACAAACCGCTCAAACTCGTTCCAGTATCCAATCTGCAAAGGGAAAACATTCACTTTATTATCAAGAAGACATGTTTATTGCATTAACACTAACCACCAACCCCCTGTCTGTTGTGGATGTATAATCCCCTTAGAATGTATTGATTTGTAAATTAATATCTCTATGTGCTAATGCTGTTATTGCCTTTAAAAAAGGGAAATTTTATGCTGAATTTTGTTAATAGGAGAAAAATGTCACTTTTGGCTTGGTTATGTTTGCCTTCTGTACTTAAAAATGTGTGATGTATATGTCCTCTATTTCTATACTATGCTTAAGTTGCTTAATGGTTGAGTGGCATGTGTGTCAGAAGGCTTAGTGTGGCACCAGCCGCTGAAACATCACTGAAGTTACACTGTAGAGTGGTCCAGCCTACTCTTGTACATCACTTTTAACAGTTACTATCAGAGTATGTCTTCCTACTAATACTGGCATTTGGGTAAGCTTTTGGTACACACACACACACACACACACACACACACACACACACACGCGCGCGCACACACACACACACACACACACACACACACAAACAAACAAAATATAGAGAAGTTTGATTAACAGTGTCCTTTCCTGCATATATAATATGGAAATTGGAATTAGGACAAAACAGCTAGTACAGCACTTGTTTTCCAGCCAGATAAGGATACACTACAGGCACTTTCCAATTTGAGCTATTTTGAGTTTATTTGTTTTAATAATGGAAACTGGTGGGCAAAAAGCAATATACCTTCATTCATTCATTCATTTATTCATTCATTCATTTTCTTTTCTGCTTTGTCCCTTTATTAATCCGGGGTCGCCAGAGCAGAATGTACCGTCGACTTACCAACCACATGTTTTACGCAGCTTATTCCCTTCCAGCTGCAACCCATCTCTGAGAAACATCCATACAAACTCATTTACATTCAAACACTAACACTACAGAAAATTTAGCCCACCTAGTTTACCTGTACCCTATGTCTTTGGACTGTGGGGGAAACCAGAGCACCTGGAGGAAACCCACATGAATGCAGGGAGAAAAAGCAAACTCCACACAGAAATGCGAACTGGCTCAGACTAGGCTTGAACCAATGACCTTCTTGTTGTGAGGCGAAAGCACTACCTAGCAATATACCTTTCCTTTATAATTCATAAATTTAATTATATATTCTACTTTGATAACACTTTAATTTAAGTAACAATTTTTACTATTACCTTGTGGCTTATTGGTCAGTTACTAGTTAAGAAATTGGTTGTTTATTTTGTACTTATAAAGAACATATTCTGCATCTTCTTATTCTATATCCTTAATCCTAAGGCTGGACATACACTGTGTGACATCTTTGCAGTTTCAGCATGGTACCAACTTACACTCTATGGGAAGGTCACATACGATGTAAAGCCAAAGCTTATGGTTCATGTGCACTACACGAGCAGCGACTAGACTGCTCACACTATGTATATAAAATAAACACGTAATATACATTTAAAAACAAAGTGGTGATTGGCAAACCAGCATATAATTTATTTATGCAACCTAATGGGAAGGAGGTAGAAAGAAATTAAAATAAAACCCACAACAAATTTTTTTTTTTTTAGAATCAGATCTGTTTCTCACAAATATTTGAACAGAATGTCATACATGTTTTAATTGTTTCTGTGCATTGTATGTGTGTGTTTCTGTTTTGGTTTTCGCACATGTACAGTGAGGGCACAAATGATGAGGTCGATTCATAACTCTGATTCAAATGTGTTATTCTCTACCGAGCACCAAGAGCAATTTCTGTCATGTCAGAAAATCATTCAACTGCCAGTTGGGACAGATTAATCACCTATTCATTGCCCCTGTACATAGTCACACAAGTTAGAATACTGACCAAAATCTATGTGTATACCAGGCTCAAACAATACCTAAACCTAAACACTACCTTAATAAATTTAGTAAGCAGGAAATTAGTAGTAGATGTAAAATCATAGCTAACTTAATAATAGTGATAATTGTACATTAAAATAAAGTGACCTATATTTTTATAATGTATTTAATGTGTTTTAAAAGCAAAATGAGTGAACAGAACTGGAGCCAGTTTGGTTTTAACATTTCCAGAGCTTATCCAACAAATGGACAAATTTAGGGTTTACTTACTTTTCTTGGGCCTCCTGTTTTCATTTCATAAACATCAATGGTGTAATTTGTTCTGCGACCAAAGCTGTCAAACTGAATGTTGCCAGTCATCCCCTGTACCTGAACCTGCCAAGAAAAACAACAATAGACCAGGGACATCAGAATCACAATAAAAAATACAGAACACAAAGCATGAGCCCCATTTCCACTGTCTGGCCAGTGCGAGTCATGACTTTTATATGGCCGGGCCGGGCCAATCACCTGGGATGTTTTGCAGTGAGGCCAAAATCATGTTGCGTTTCTACTGTTGGGCTAGTAGCTCGCAGCGCAAACCCCGCCCCCAGAACATCCCCTGAATCAAACGTCACACAACCCGCCTACTTCAGCGGGAGGCAGATAAAGCACAACATCGCATCATCCCCAAACCATTAAAAATGAAGACAACTGAAACAAACAAGTGACACGTTACTGTACAGCAGTACATGATATATATACGTACATGCCTGTGTGTTCTCATTCATGATATTCATTGACTTACTGACCGACAGTTGGCGTCGAGTGGTCTCGCCAGCGCAGGGAGCGCACCATCCATAATATAACACCACAGAAATTCTCTGTTAATAACTCGGCAAAAAAATGTATTTTATACATATCCTCATTCAGATAGACACTGTCAAACATTCAGCCCAAATGCTCCGGAGAGACCTGAAATATATAAATTTTTCCTTATAGGCTATATGACACTTAATAGGTGATTCCTCTTTATTTAAGGATGTTGCCTATTATTCTGTGATCTTAAGGAAAGTATTAAGTATTTCAGCACATAAGAGCAAGTAATAAAATATAGCCTATATTTCGTTGCGCTCAGCAGCTTTTTACTAATAAATCTCTTCATCTATTTAAAATTTCAGTTTTAAATTTTACCACGTCATATAAACACTCGTTTAAAGACATAGAACACATTTTGTATTTGCAGTTTTCCCCAATGCGTTTGTAAAGAGGCACTGCACAGAGCAGTAAAAAAAGTAGTCTAGTTTCTGCTTTCACTCACCCAGAAATGCTCTGTTTGCATGATTTGATTAATATCATCGTATCCAAATACTTTATAAATAATATTTCAAACCTTCTCCAGTGTTTATTGTTTTTAGAAAATGTCTAAAATCTTTTTTCATCTAGACCTTTGTAAAATGAAAGTTTAATATGGCTTTAAAATGGTTTGATTTATATATTGTATATACCTAAATTGTTTTAGCTAGCTTTTGTTTGTTTTATATTGGTTTATTTATTTATTGCGATTTTATTATATCCAATATTTGTAATTCTTTAACTTATTTCAATATAACTTAGGCTATTTTATCAAGATATGACTATTGTTTTAAGCCTACAAACATAGACACGAAGTTTGTTAAGTTTTATGTCTTTCTGTTGTATTCATATTGTGTATTATCTCCAAAAAAAAAAAAAAGAAAGAAAAAAGCCGCTGGTGGCATCAATAGAGTTGTGAAGGGAGCGCTGTTTTGCTCTGTCTCACATTCACATGCAGGCATCTAAACGCGCACAAACACACCTTTTAAACTTGACAAAAACTCTCGAAAACCTTTACTGTCTGCTGTGTCTTTAATATGGTGTAAAGATTATTATTTGTTACATCAAGGAGGACGCAGCAAAGAATTTCATATATAAATTAAAGCTTTTTTTTTTTTTTTTTAAAGCCTTACATTTAATAGGGAAACATAAGGGCGATCATATGCAGAAAGACCCCAGCCTATAAGACTAGATGTTTTCTTTCCCCTATTTATTTATTTATTTGGCGCATTTACTTGTATGCGATCAAAAGACTAGTGTCTGCCTCTTCTTTAACTCCGCCCCGAAGCCCCACCTGGCCCTCTTTGGCCCAAGGTATTCGGCGGGCCGAGAAAGGCCATCCACTGGCCCTGAGAAAGCCCCGCTTTGGCCCGATTAGGTCCTGGAAGTGACAGTGGAAATGCGACTGGCCTTCTCTCGCCCTGGCTCGCTCGCTTTAGGCGCGATAGTGTAAACACGGCTATTGAGGAGATTTAGCCTGGCCACTATGTGGCATTGTGCCAAAAGACTGCAGTTAACCATGGGGCATGGTTGTTATCAGAATACATTAATGCATTGAAGAGATATAGCCTCATATCCACCTGACCACTAGGTGACACTATGCCAAATTAGTGAAGGTAACCTTAGATTATAGTTTTCAAACTAAATTCCAAGTTTGGTCCGGAAAGATCCTTAAGTGACGTCACAGTGTATCCTTGTTCATACACAGAACTACCCATAAAGAATTCACTTAGTCAGCTGTATATTAACTACAGATACATTTAGATTGTGAAAATGGTTGTTTTCTGTTGTCTCTATTTAAGGTGAGAAATCTGTCATCCACAGAAAAAAAAAAAAAAACAATTAGCAAGATTTCCACTTGAACCAAGAAAATTAATGAATGAGAAACTGAAACGAATTCTATTGCATTGTATTGCTGTCTTTACTGCAGATGAAGTTGGTATGATCTTCATTTGTCAAATAAAAAATTTCAGACATTTACACAAGTGGTGCACAATAATGCATATGTTTGACACAGTGGAAGCCCTACTAGGAAACACCCATACACTCTCGCATTGACACACACACAAATAAGGCAAATGCTGTTATTCCAATTCACCAATACTGCATACTATACTGCATGTCTTTAAACTGTGGGGGAAATGGGAGCCCTCAGAGGAAACCCACACAAACAAGAAAGAACATGCAAACCCCACACAGAAATGCCACCTGGACCAGCCGGGTCTCGAACCAACAACCTTCTTTGCTTAAAGGCGACAGTGCTAACCAATGAGCCACCAAGCAGCCCTTATTTGTAACTTATAATCAATTAAAAGGTAGTATGGATATCAATTTAAAACCACCCAGTAGGTGGCGGCAGGACACAGTCTCATTCAAAGGAACAAAAGGGAAAAAAAAACATTAATGGATGAGTTAATTATCAATGAAGGAACTGAATGCATGACATTGCATTGACATGCGTACCAGGTAATATGAAATATAATGAGATTTTTACTCATACTGAAACATTTGTATACAATAAATATGTATATTCATAACAGCATCAAAGTAAAAATAAATTCATTCATTCTTTCATTTTCTTTTCGGCTTAGTCCGTTTATTAATCTGGGGCTGTCACAGCGAAATGAACCGCCAACTTATCCAGCATATGTTTTACGCAGCAGACACCCTTCCAGCTGCTACCCATCACTGGGAAACACCCATGCACACTCATTGCCAAACATACACTATGGACAATTTAGCTTTCCCAATTCATCTATACCACATGTCTTTGGACTTGTAGGGGTAACCGAAGTACCTGGAGGAAACCCACACGAACACCGGGAGAACATGCAAACTCCACACAGAAATGCTAACTGACCCAGCCGAGACTCGAACCAGTAACCTTCTAGCTTTGAGGTGATAGTGCTACCCACTGTGGCACCCAGATACCCCAAAGTAAGAATATATTGCAAATATATTCTTTCCTTGATAAACAATAGCTTACTCCTATCGATGTCAGTCATGTGACCTTGTGCAGAGGTTAATGTGCAAAGAATATTTTAAAAAAATTAAATTGTGGGCACTTGTGATCCATTTACTGCATTTGGAGCTGTTTTTTAGTTATTTAAAATCAGTCATGTCCCTGTCAGAGCTCCAATTCTCCAGTTTATTTATTTAGCTTTTTATTTTAATGTAACCATTATTGATGGCGTTATAGCTTGTGTCTGCTTTTATATTTGATGTGGTTTCTTTTTTAAATAAATTCTATTCATTATCTATTCCTTCTGCTATTTATACTTTGACTTTGCATTTCAATTTATACTTTAATTGCACCTAACTTGCAAATTAGAAAACCATTCAACACAAATCCATACATTTCTCCTTTCTGGCTGTTCTTTCCCTGCAAGGGATTCTGTAGAAGCATGTCTCATGTCGTTTAGTAACGCTATATCTTATTGCACCACAATTATTATTTTTTTTTGCCTAAAAAATATAAATTACTCAGCCCATGACTTGGTAGTCATCTGGAGACAGCAATCAAGAAAGTCTCTCTTCATTTGCATAAAGTTGATATATTGCATAAATTAAGGACATGCCTGTCTGATCCGCAACAATCGCTGTTGGTCGTGTTGATGGAGATCACCGGAAGTCAGTCATTCTCTACTGAAATGAACAGTCGCTTGTTACCGCGAGTCGCTCATAGTATGAATGAGGCATTAAAGAGCTATATAATCTTCAATTTACCACTAGGTGAACTAAATGGCATTAGGTGCCAAAATTATAAAGGTAAAATCCAGTCATGGTTCTTATAATAAATACCTATTCAGGTCTGACTACAGCAATGTGTTAGGATACATAGCCTAATGTCCACCTTAGCATGTTCTTTGTCAAAATTGATTTGTAAATAATTTATTATTGGTTGGTTATTCATGAAAGGTTTGAGGAAGCTTTTAATAATTTTTGCAAGGACCATCTGTGTCACTTTTGGTAAAATGCATATGAACTGTCGAAGATAAGTTTGTAAAAGTAGTGATATTTATATTGCTGATTGTTTAAGTTTTATTGACAATATTGTTTCTGGAAGCAGAGTTGTGAATGAGAAGATCTTATATGAAATATAAAGATTTTGCGCTTTTGTGAAACACTGAATGCAACAATGCCTATATTGCATACATTGTCACTGGGTTTCATTCAGAGGGGGTCATCCCTGTGCCCTAATGCCTTTGACAGGTTCCCTGAATAGATTAGAGTATAGGGATAAGCCCTTCCGAATTGAGTGCAGTGTGTACACCAAACAACTTCCCAGCTCACAGGATCTCACCTGCCTTTCATTTCTGCTGATTGCTGGTCCTATATCTGAGGGTGTTTCGTTTCTCCTCTTGCCAGAGTGTTGCGTTTCTTACAGCCTTCTTGTTGGTCTGTTGTTTGTTATCTTTGTATTCTCTGTCTAGTTCTCTGGACCCATTCTGGATTAAGTCTGCCCTGCTGGAGAATTGATCCTTTGCCTTGATCTCCAATTGATCTCCAATGCCCCAGCTATCTTCCATACACTCGTCAAT